TCAGTAGTTTACGCTTGCGTTTGGGACATGTTACAGCCCGCCGGTGTGACATGATGGCCTTTCAAGTGCACAAGGCGCACTCCAAATCCTCCTAAACGTTTTCCATCCAAAGTGGCTGTGAAGCAAATTGCAATGACCGTCATGCCCGGAGTTGAATGAGTCCAGAATGCTCATTTTTAAGCTGGAGACTGTCTCACATTCTAATGGCATGATCAGCCATCCAGTTTTGGACAAGTTCATGTGGAAATAAGCAGTATCTGCCGGTCTTCCTCACTCTTTCCAGCTATTTACTTTAGTTGATGCTCCTACCCTGTAGTATATTGCGCTCAGACACTTCTGAAAACATACTCCCGTAATGAATCGGGCAGCACTCCCCCTAAAAACCCATGAGTTCCATTTTCCTTTTAGTGCCTAATTCTGCAGCTGCAATTCTGAATATTTCTGCATCATGTTTAGTAAAATAATAGAACTACCAGATCATTCCATTTCCCACTGTGCTGCAATGCAGCCATATTGACTGCATTCTGTGAAAGTTTTGGCAGCATTTCCCCAAACCTTTGCATTGTTCAACACGGCGAATGTACTGTGTTTTCGATTTACCGCCTCACAACATTTCTAATACGGTTTCTCAGGCCCAGACCGGCGTTTCAAAAGCATTAATATATGATTCCTGTCTATTCCTTTTTTAGTAAGCCGAAACTTCTTCTTTCATGTTCACAAGTGTTCTTTATACTAATCATCAAAGTGCAGCTCCTTTCAGCATGCTTTCTCGCTTTTCAGCAACGCTGCCCATGTTCTCCTGACCAGCCGATTCTGAGTTGGTCCCCGTCAGCTGCCGCATGTCAGTCAAGATCCCGTCATCGTGCTGACGCGGGACAATGACTAACAGCGAGTTTACAATTTTAAAAAACCATCTTGAAGGTGTATCGCGCTATCAGGTGATGTTGGTGTTTCATCCTAGCATTGAAAAAAGTGTTGACACTAAAGGGGGGGAGAGAGGGGAATTGTCTCTCAGCTTAGCGGCCATTTGGCGCTAAGCATACAAATACAAAATGGTGTCTTCCCCATGGAGAGACGGTGAGACCATCTAGCAGCAATCCACCCAGCGACATGCCTCGTCTTAAGAATACTGATAGTTCGACGAATTGATGGCAGAAAATAGAAAGTTATCGCTACAGGTGCAGAAGTAAAACTTCTAAAAGCACATTCATATTAGGCAAGTGGAATCACCACAGCATGCGGCTATGATTTTATAGATATTTGGATCTCCCAAATGAGATTTCTATTGAATCATCTCAAGCGGGTTTTGCTCTGGGTGTCGCCCACCGTTGCTTATTATCCGCTCCAAGAGGATGTTAATGAAAGATGATGTGGCCTGCTTCATGGCAGCGGTTTAGTTGGCAGCCCCCCATGCGAAATCTGCACAAAGTGGCGTAACGCCACTTTGACGAATGATTATAATAATCATTGATTATTATAATCATTCGTCATAACAAAATAAAGCATCATGCAATCATGCTCGTGTCCTTGCAGCGTGGTTCAGGGCCAAGGGAAGGGGCTGCTTGGGGAATTACAGTGTTGTTTGCTTTGAAAATTGGCATCTGAAGGCTCGCAACAATGTTGCTACATTGCCCTGCAGACGGCGTTGCACTGCTCAAATATCTTTAATGCTCATTCAAGAAGACCAAACATCATACCCGGGATAGGTATTGATGCCGGTACCCTTCTTCAGGTAGCACAGTGGCCGGCTCACTCGCGAATGCCCGGCAGAGGTCGCGCACTTGAAACAGGCCCTCGCGGCCAGAGTCAAACTAGGTCAGAACCCAAGTTTCTGATTAAAAGGGGTGGCCCACTTTATACGGGCGCGTTCTCACCTGTACTGCCCCTCGATTGTGGCCCCTTTGATGGACAACACCTTCTGCTGCAATTCCGGCCATGACCTTCAGCTATGGCAGTTGGCAGGGATCCCTTGGAAGCTGAAATTCACCCATTGGGTCGATGTGCATTCACTCATAGGCAGCGTTGATTCATTGACAATACATCTTTTGTCCACCAAGTTCTGCACTGTGGCATGTACCAGTGAATTTTTTGGCGCTAGAGTCAGCTACATATCAATGCTTGAATCACCATTTCAATTGCACAACGACTATCAATCGGATGTGGTGCCTTGCTGTTTGGCCAATCAAGTGCCTATGTCCTTTCTCGCATTGTGGAATCTGGGCAGCTGTCAGCAAGTGCCGCTTGACGGGGGATGCAACAGGCGGATGGCCACAAAGGCGACCAAGGGAAAGTTTCTTAACAGGTATTGAAGGAACAGCCGTGTATGCACATGTACAATGCAAGTTTTTGCTTGGTGTATTTTTTGTGCAATAACACACTCCATGTAACAGGTTTTGCATTTGTCGTTGCAGCGGCAAATGCAGCTAACGTAGGAGCTCCGAGATGTACAAGTGGGTGTGGTGTTGCACACATTTAATAGCAACATGCCAGGGGAGTCCGCATTCTCCTTCAGTGTGTCCGAATCAGCCAGGGGGCGTTTGTTGCATTGTCTGCGGGTGGCTGGGGTTGCATGTTGGCTATCTCAACCCGAAATCCACAAACAGCCCCTCGCGGCCAATTTTTGCGCCCTGCACACAATCCATCACAACCTGTCGAGTCTTAATTGCTTTAAGAGACACAGCTTTGCCCTTACAGCCGTTCTGCTAGCTCCCAGTCCTGTCAAAACAAGGTCACTTGGCGACTACCGCCAGAATGGCCAATTCACTACTCATCCGCGATTGATGAGGGTGATGGCCATGACCTTATCTTGCAGGTGAATATCTCTTTTTGCGACAGTGGACTGTTATTTTTTTCCGACAGTGCCAAACTACTCTTTTTGCGACAGTGGATTGGATGGTTCACTTGACTGATGCACAGCTTGAGAAGGCGGAGGGGCCTTTGAACCGACTCGCCTATCCTCCACCCGCCACCCGCCACCTGCCACCCGCCACCCGCCACCGGCCACTGCCAGCCACCAGCGTTGTTGTTTGCAGTCTGAGGAATCACTGTTCCGCTTCCTCCAACTTCCCGGGTCAACGCTGTGCTTGTTTGGGACCTGGGTGACGCACAGGGCCGGGCAGCGCCAGTTGGCCACTAACTTGCGCACAGTGCTGAAATGAGTGCTGAAATGCTGCCAGTGGGTCCCATCACAGGTCGTCGCTCAGAGGGCGTGCCCCCACCCGACAGCAAAAGCTGGTCGTGTGACCAGTCAACGGCGTTGGGCGTGGGCGCCTTGTTGGTCCATGCTTGGATGGCAATGGCACCGGCAACCAGCGCCTTGGCCTCCCCCTCTGGCGTCACGAACAAGATCCCCAGTCCCGATTGGCGGTGCCGTGTCCCTTCGTCGCCAGTTGCCCGCATTTCAGCGGGCTAGCACTGCAAAAGCAGAGATTGGGAGGAAACGGGGGGCTTCAACCTCAGCCAATTCGGCTGAATCTCAGTGCTAAAGTGAGCGCTGAATGGCAGCAGCAGCGGCAGCCCCCCTTCCGCAAGGTGGGGACCCTGGGCGTCCCCAAACGCTCCCGTTTCGCCTTTCGTTTCGTTCTTCGAGCAGACGCGCCTTCGGCGCCGTTGTGAGTGAAGGCCCCATGGATCGCGCTGGGTGGGTGTGGCAGATGTGGTGCCAACACCTCGCGCATCAATTATCGCCACTGTCGCAGAAAAGAACATGTCGCCAACAAGAACAATTTCACTGTCGCAGAAAAAATAGTAACCGTCTTGCACCTTGTTAAGAGGATTGGAAGACCTCCCGCGGCTGCCCTAGAGGCGGCGATGGAGACTACAGAGCCCTAGTCCAGAACTCTGGGTCCGGATCATAGCTCCGACCCACTGGATCGAGTTTCAAATTCCAGCCGTATGCCACAGCGAGTTTGACGATCAGCGGCTACCGCAACGTGTTTTCTATCGCCGCACCTCTTCACAAGCACCGCGGTGACCTTCCCTATGGACAGTGTGGAATGCATTCCATATGGATAGTTTTGCATATGCAGCTTTGTTTGGCTGCTGCAAAAGTGTGCTCCTCAAAACAGCGAAAAACGGCCATTCTTGCTGCCACGCCGAAAACGGGTCGTTCTCTGGCTAGAGAACCCTTGCTACAAAGTACTGCCAAATCCTGAATATGTAATGGATTGACCTGAAATTTTGATAGTATGCTCCTACCTCACAAGCACAGTTTTTGGTGAAATTTCATTGAAAATTGATGTTGGTACGATAAATATCTACAAGAAGTAACGCCTCAAAGTCATAGACGACATTTGATCTTGGATGGAGGAAGTAATAGAGTTAGTTGCTATTCAACTGTGAAAGTGGCGACAGAAGTGCTCCGAGGGCAAAGCGCTATCCACCATGAGCTACAGTACTGTAGATCTCTGAATGCAACAGCTGTGGCTGCTGGTGTGTACCGGTACACAGCAACAGCTGCAACTATAGCGTTCAGAGACTTGCCCGGCCAGCTCCCACATTACCACTTACATCGGAAACATGCAAAACCAAAAGTAGAGGCTGGGAGGAATCCCAAAGGGGGCCTCGGTGAGTCGGATACCAAGCTGACCGGCTGGGCGTCCTCTCCACAACATGTACAGCAGGGAAACGTGCGCACGGCATAGAACACATGAGGGAGGACCGCACGCTTTGACACGCCGAGAGAATAATTCAACCTCGTCACAATCACCACGTGGGCATTACTAACAATTACAAATCTTGCACAACCCCCACCCAAAAAACTAAAGCAACACTCCCATGCAGTAAGCGCAACATGCAAGCAAACAATCGGAGACATATCAGGGACACACCAGAACCCTGGTGGACACATGGACGACGGCCGTCGTCCTGCAGGCATTGGCCATACGGTTGTGGGTCGATCCCGGCCTTCTTTGATAAGCCTCTTTGTTAACGAGAACAAATGCACGAGTCACAGAGACAGCGACGCTTCAACAGCGTAGAGCATCCAATCCCGACGTGACCTAGCTGGCGGTTGGGATCTTCCGCATCGCCCACGCTGGCCTGGCGCCTATGAGGCCAGAGAGTTCGCTCAAAACATCCGCCCAGCTGGGCCTCTTGCCAGGGTCAAAACTAGCGCAATTATCAATCAAATCATCAAGATCCTGGATTCCAGAACTGACGATGCCAGTTTGGCTGGATGCAAGGATACATTCGCGCATCAACTCACCAAAAGAATAGATATCCGGCTTCTTGCGATCCACGCAAATCTTCTTGCCTTCCTCTGCAAAATATATCGGCTTGAGTTCAGGGGCCATGTACCTCAGAGTCCCATCAAACTTCCCTGTGCCAAATGTCTGTGAAAGCTGTTCAGAGGCTCCGAAGTCCCCCACTTTCACAAGTATTTCCTCAGCGATTTTCACCAACACGTTCTCCGGTTTCAAGTCAAAATGAGCGATATCCAGATCGCAAACATAATGCATGCCTCTGGCAATCCCCTGAAATATTTTCAAAGCATCCAGGTAGGTAAGCAGCGGCACGGTGACCGCGCGATGACCTGCGACCAGAACAGACCTCCCCTGGTTCTTCATCAGCTTATGCAGATTCATGTCCATCAACTCAGTTGCGACAAATTCTTCGCCGTCTGGGACCTGCCCAAAACCATAGCAACCCAACACGTTCGGATGCTCCTGAGCCGTCTTGAGGATAGCATATTCCTTTTGCAGGGCGCCTGCTTCCATGCCAGTTCTACAGACTTTGACAGCCACTGTAGGTACTTGCCCATTGCTTAGCCAGATCTCCCCTAAATACACGTCTCCCGCGGCCCCCCCTCCAATCCGGTTGTTGAAAAGTATATTCACAACCTCTTCCTTGCCATCCAGTGTAGACATTCTGGCGTAGACATTTCTTGGCTCTTTGCGATGCAGTGCTCTTCGAGCCAATGCTACTCTGAGAATGGGTGGGCAACGTACGAAAACTGCACTGGGTTGAAGAATGAGGCACGCCACCTTGTGAACATAAAAACGAACTTGTCATCGCAGTTGCAATTTGACAAGCTATCGCTCACACCACCTTTCAGTTTCCTACAGTTACCACAGTTTTTTAACACAGTTTTTTAACCTACAGTTTCCAAGTGCTCAAGAAGCCTCGCAGCGAAACTTTCCCAATGGCCCCCGGGGAAATTCGTGGGCCACCATTGGAAGACAAGAAGCTACAAAAAGTGACAACGACATGATTCAGTGCGAGACCTTATTCGTGAACAGCAGGCTTTGCAGGCATATGATATCAAGGCTTACAACATGTTGGCATCATATATGCGCCATCGTGTGCCTGCAAGCTAGGCGTGACAATTGGGGGCAAGGGGGCACGACGATAATATCGTGGAATGTGAAAGAGACAGGGTATTGAAGCACCGGAAGCACATAGTCAACGGGATGCAAGCTGCTGCTGATGGAAGTGGAACACTGTGCACAATTTCTGATCACCCAGGCAGCGCACAGATCAGACCACATCTCACCATAGCTGTCGAGGTAGCAACCATAAGCGCTATCGTCCACATCACTCGAACGGGGAGAAACCTTGCCTGCAAATGTTATCTCACAAACATTTTGTCAACAGGTGCGACAATCAGAACAGCAAATTGTACATACAATGGCTACAACAGTCCTCCATGGTACCATCTACTATGCACATTCGCCATTGTGACTTGAACGAGGTGGCACATGCAATGTGCAACAATTCAATGAGCAACACGTCAAACTTCACAGCGACTAGTGAATGTTTCCAGCATAACTTCATTGCATAACAATGAAATTTTTAACATGAACACAGGCATTTTCGATCCTGTTCATATCGATTGTTGTGCTGTGTTGACAAATCAGGCATCCCTTCCAGAGGCTTCTCTCCACACCTGTGGAGCTATGGTGTCACTGATCCAGCCTCGAAGAGGACCAACGGCTGCATATTCGACAGCCAAACTTCCATTTTTGTAGTTCGCCTTTGTCACGATCCCCACAACATAGTCGAGGTCAGTTCTGCCATGCCGGACTACATCTTGGTACGTATGCGAATCTGGTGGCAAATCAGTTACGACAAGAGGACTGCCCAGGACACCTGCACAACAAAAGCAGCATTGAAATCATCAACCAAATTCGTGGAGGTAACTACCCCTGACAGGTAAGGGCTGCACATTTGCATTTCAACTATTCTAAATTGCAAAAATGGTTGCGCACAAGCTTAGTTGTCACCAGTGAATGTCCTCAGTGAGCATACCTCATAAGCGGTGCTCACGAGCGCCATTCCGCTACCTGGAGTGCGTACAGATTCCATTCATACCCTGCTTACATGGATGTCGATGGATGGGCATGGAACAGTGGTGCGTGTTGTCTGTGTTCAGTGGCTGCTATGCTGAAGCTTGGTCTCCAAAATTCAGCAAGTGTGTGGGTAGAATGGGCATGGCGTTTGCAGCTTTGTATGAACAAAAGGCGTCAAACGATGCCGTTCATTGTTAGTGGACATCTAAGGAATCCCTACAGCCCTTGTCGCCACTATTGCTACAGCACAATCTACAGAGCGACATCTGATCAATGTCGCCGATGCGCTACCAGTCTCAGAGCGACACATCTCAAGCACAATCCCTTCTTATTGGCAGCACCTTTGTTCATGGATGTCCTCTTGTGTGTTCTCCATCCCCTTGACAGTTAGTGGTGCTTTGAAATGTGTGCACGTCATACAACCACCTTTACCAAGGCCTAATAACAGAAAGTGATTACGTCAAGGAGCCTGCATCTGATGATATCATGGAAATTACCCTGCAAGGCGTGTCATGACTACAAGACATCCGCAAGCTTGGAGCTTAAACCCAGGTACAATGTATTGCAAGGACAGCAACAGATGCTCTACTCAACTTTTGTGGCTACTTCAAGGCTGATTTTACATAACCAACACATCCTGTATTGTACGGAGATCGCTAAAATCAATGCTTTCAAGTACCATGCTGATTTAGAGAGTGGCACAGGTGGCCCATGACTGGGGTATGTTAATACCTTAACAATTTTGCCTGGCCGCTGCTCACAGTGCACTCACTCAATTCCTTCACGACGAGCAGGTCACCAACCCCTGTTGGTTTCAGTAGTCTGGGGTTTCAATATTTAGCCAACCAAACATTCCCAGGACAGTATGCTATCATTCTTGATTTGGGACAAACTTAGAAATTTTCTGAAACATCGACTTGCACCTGGGGACAGCTGAAATCGAAACTCTCAAGGTAGTGTGTGGCATGTTGCAACATGTTGAGGAAGATGCACGTGCACCATCTGTGCCAGGACAATGACGGGGGCGTAATTGTGGCAAAAGAGTTCTGCATCCCAAACCACAGGCGACGTCCAGGCAACTCACCACTTTCCATGGTGGCAAAGTTTGAGTAGGCGCAGTCTCCCCGGAAACTCTTTCCAAGCAGTGCTGGACAGTAATCAGCTTGCACAGCGCAAAATACAGCTGCCTGTATTGCATTGCTCCAGCTGAAACCTACCACCTTGCCATTGTGTGGTGGTTTTTGATTCGGTGCAATCAGAGTTGGGAAGGGACCCTCAAAGGGGTGTTCCAGTCTGAGCAGTGCCACATCATATCCGCCTGTCTGCTTCTTGTGACGAGTGACTTGGATGATATTCCTTTCCTGGTAAGCAAGGAAACAAGAAAACAGCACTGCATAAGTTTACACCCACATGAACATGCACGTGGACGACAGTTGCACATCCTGGCAAAGTGCCGTGATCATAACAATTCATTATTCCTACTCCATCCCAAGGTGCAGAAGAGGATGCAAGTGTTCTCACAGCTCTGGTATGAGCAATGCTGGTCGCTCTGTACCGCTGGCCAAACCATTTGGACCAAGAAGGCCTCAGTTTTATAGCAACAGAGAAATTCTGTTGCTCATGGTACTGCACATGGGTGTCAAAGCTATGGACTTGGTATAAATGCAAGCATCGCTGCTGGGTGGTATTTCTACCTCAATGTCTTCCATGTGCCTGATGTCACTGTCATCTTGAGCACCAATTATTACGGTGGCATCAAATCCAGCCTGTTCGATGCAGTAGGCGGCCGTCAAAACATGGAATCTATCAATCACCACGCCTTGGCACCAGAATTTGCCCAGCGGAAAGTGAATAGTTGCCAAGGCCAAAAACCTCCCTTTTCGGACAGCGCTCCAATATCCCTGAAAAGTCAACACAAGACATCATCTGTTACCAACCTGCCAACAAACACTCAATCATATTCCAGCAACAGCACTGTAGACACCAATCCACACAGTACCTGTCAATACTTTCCTTCAATTCTGTGTGCCACAAGAGGACAGCCTTGTGGACATTGTGCAACCTAAGGAAAGGTTGAAGGCAAGCAACTGGAAAGCGCAAGTGGGGAGATTTGGCTGCATGTGCATTACCAACACCCCAATGACTTTTATGTGGTTGAGCAGCCAAGGGTGCCTCAACCTTGCTGAGGATGTTTCTTTTGCCGCTTTCATGGTGCTCATTGATGCCTGCCAGAAGCTTTGCAAGATCTCCTGCTGCATGGCGAAGGATCTCAAATCCTCAGTATATGTACAAGCCTCATTATATATAAGGGGTGAGCCCACCAAGGTCTATGCTTATATGATACGTTTCCTGCATCGCCCTGTGTAGCTTACCAGATCATGAGCATTGACACCACAGCCACCCTTGCTGAAGCCATCAATCGGGAGTGTTTGTGTTGCGCCATCTCCCAGTGCCACAACCAGGACCCCCGCAAACACAATGGCCTTCAGCAAAAGGAAACAGCTGCCACTGCCACGCTCAGTCTGCATGCCTGCACACCAATGACACTTAAAAGTGACCTCTTGCATGCACATTGACAATGGGATTTGCAGACTGCACAGATTGTTGGGGGTTGGCGCTAGCAGCAAAGGTGTCCAAGGCATGATGCACAACTTGCTGCAAAATCAACACAGGGCAGAATGTCCCTGGTAGGGGTGGACCTTCTACGGAATCGTTCACCAGCATTGCCAAGTCCAAGGGAGCATGAACACCTGGGGTCATGCAAGGCAAGCACACAAACAACCCACTGGCAACGGGGCTGCCGCGACCGATGAAAAAATCTGAATATTCTGTTGCAGATTTTGGGATGTGCCAATAACTTCTTCAAAGAGTTGATCACTTGGCAATTGATCAACACCAGGAAATCTCGTCACGAGAGTCTCTATCCTTTGGTTTGAGAATTTGCCTTGACCGACAGTTCAAGGGTTTCGGGAAGAGGTGGTGGCCCAGACGTCAGCACGACTGGTGGCAGTCAAGGAGGCTTTGGCGAATCATGTCGCTGGCCCACGCTTGCAACCAATGTCCGGCCCCAAGGGTCCGTGCGTACAGTGAATTGCGCAGGTGAAAACTGCAGAAACTGCAGAAACGCCGGTTCGCACGGCTGTCGTGCTCGGGTCAAAGGTTCGGAATACGGCCCCTTCGGAGATTGGCTTGTGTCCGAGCGCGACAAAAATCGATACGATGGAGGCAGAGAGGCCATAACAAGCGCAGATTCGGATAGAGCTGCCACACAGAGGGACAACAGAGGGGCGCTGGGAGCCCTGCCTACGCCGCTGACGGCCCCAACCACACCCCCTTGCGACAAGTCCCGCCGACGGGATCCCGCTGACGCCCCACAATCCTTCCACCCCCTCCCTGCCACGTCGCAGGGTTTTACAACGCGGCCCTGCGACTCCGCAGGAGATTGGGCCCTTTCTCCAACAGTGGGACTCAGAGGGTAGGTGTGGGCCCTCAAAACCCCGAAGACTACCCCATCAGCCCTTGCATCAGTGTGCGCGAATTCAGCAGCCAGAAGTCACACGATCTGGATCAGAGGCCAAACGGCAAACCGCCTCGCGCTCAACAGCAGTTGCGGGTTCCCAGCCGGCGGGTCTGCGTGCGAATTTTTCCAGAGGCGGGCCAGAGGCCTTCCACCCACAAACGCGCGTGCCGCGCACCAGCAGATTCCATGCACGCCTCCATCAGCTACTGAAAAGACATAAGTATGTGATGCCGCCGGGGCGTTGCTCTCGGTGGCGAACGTCGCCGAACGGGGACGTCCAACAGGTGGCCGGTTGGCCACCATCCCCACGGCTTCAGCAAATCGATACCCCTGCGGACGCTGAAGACGCCTCTGGGTGCGGCACGCACTGAGCGCGGCCCTGCGCGGGCCACGCGGCTCCTCCAGAACATCCACAAGCACGGCTTTGCGTGATGAACAGGGGTCCCACAACCCAGGGCTCCGATTTCCCAAACACCCTTGTGGTGGCACTCCGTCGGTTGGCCGGCAGGCACTGCGGAGCGCGCGGCGCATCGCACCTCCCCGCGGAGGTCCCTCCACGACGTCCCGAGCCTGGCAAACCTTTGGGTCCAAACCCCTCCTGACCTGTCCCCCGCGAGTTCAGGCACCGGCGACCCGCCGTGCTGCGGTGTTGCCCGGCATTGCGTAACACCGAGTCTGGGTCGTCACACGCCCGTGCGCCCCTCGTGCCAACGGGCCCGCCGGCAAAATGCAGCCCGCTGTGCTTTGTAGTTTGTCGTTGCTGTGCGCGGCGCGCTGACTGCGGAAGACACCACACTTCAACGAGAGACTTGCTTTGATGCATGCAGATGCGTCAACATAGGTACGACAAGATGCACCCATTTGACAAATTGGGGACCATGGGTTGTACAATGCGCATGTACTCATACAATGTTGACAGTGTGCAGTAACGCCGGGTGTTGACTACCTGGAGGCGGTCAACGCCCGGCGTTACTGCACACTGTCAACATTGTATGAGTGCCTACTCTCTCGCTCATACACTCCAGCCGGAGCGGTGTAACGCATATGCGTTTGGTCCAGGAGGCATGCATCCTCCAGGAAATTCGGAAACATCCATCACTTCTGATTCGTCGCGCCAGGAGTACCAGGAGGAGTCCATGCGCGACATCTGGTTGCAGATTGCAACTGCTCCACCAGTTCGGCGACTCTTGAAGATACACCTGCGTGCGCTCGGACAGAGTACTAGAATGGCAGGGCGGTGGCATCATGACGGCTGAATTGTCAATGTGCGTCTCGAGGGCGGAACGAAGTAACAAACGCTTCCAGGCATTGTGCCACTTGAGGATTGACGTGTTAATGACATGTAAAGCTATAAATTCTCCCAGTATGTTGCTGCATAATGGGCCACCACCCTCGGGCGAGAATCGGGCGCTCATTGATGTGTCGAGAAGCGCCCTGCAAGCCTTGTTTGAGCTTGGTTTGCGCACATTCCGTGGAATGCGCATTGTGCAGTAATGCGCGAATGTGGGATAATCAGGTGCGCAGTAAACGTGCAAATACTGTGCGCACTCGCATGGCAGATACATGTGGCGCCCATAGTTTCCTCCCGCTCTTTCGCTGTTGCAACCAACACTAGGAAAGAAAGGGCCAAATAACACGTGTTCAAACGTGTACAAAGTTTACGGGTTTGGGGTAATCTTCCGTTCTCAGGCACATGGACACTGAAATGTAATGTTGTATTTCAGAATTGAACATAGACAGCTAAATCTCAAAATCAATTATCCATCGGCACAAGCTTCAAGTACCGGTGTGTTCCCCACTCAGGATATTGCGTCCTCACTTCCAGTTAGTACTGATGAGTTAAAGCGACTATGTCTTTGTGCCACGTGGCAGTAGGAGATACATTTAGCAAGGAAACCTTTCTCTTGACTGTGAAGACCGTATTGCGTCTTCCCTTGATTGCGGCAACAATGAACGGTTAGTTGCAGTTGTATTGTCGATTAGATTACACGGTTTGCAATGTTGCTCTGAGCAACAGTTTCATGTACGCCGCTCGGTCACTGACGTTTGTGTCGTTGGTTTGTTCGAACAGAAATCGTTGAGAGCCCGGCGTCCTGTGGAAGAATGAGACAGTTAAGATTGCCTGAAAGTTTAGAATCGCCTGTGGAGAACTGCCAACAACCATCAGGATGCACTCGGCAACAAACGCACTTGGTTCGCGGAGGCCTGCACAATGTGGTGCAAGTCTTCCTTACAGCGATGCGAGCAAGGCGGCAATCTGCATCGTCCGGAGCGATGAAGCCGCGCAGATACTGCAGCATGCAGTTAAACTACATCCCCTGTCTTTTGTTAAAATCCCAACTTTTCATATGGCTTGCTTCTGGGGTCTAGCATACATGAAATGATGTTCAGAATACATTTACCTGCAGTAAGCTATCGAGACACGGCAATGTCTACGATCGCATGTTTGCAGTGGTGGATTGTTTCCGACAAAGGCATCTCGGTCAGCAAACGCTCTATTTCATAATTCTAATCAAGAAACATGTGAATACATAGAACAGTACACTGCATTTATGATATGATACAATTCTGTCACAATTATTTCTTCATTAGTGACACGTGACATTGTAATTATCATAGCATGATTGTAATGTTTCAAAAGAGAGCAAACAACTAAAATTAACTTGCTTCAATCTCACTGCTCGGCGACCAGTGTACTTACCTGTCACACTCCAATTGCTGGAGCCCCGTGGCAGGGCTCGACGCACTTCGCATCATTCGGGTCGAAGACGGCACTTGTGACATCCCTTGACATCACTTGTGGCGCCCAAAAATTACGTGAATGAATGATAGACCGCCCAGGTTCCCACATTTCTGGTAGCCGCCCTCACTGCGTGCACCGGCCGGCGCCGCGTTAGACGAGGATGTGAGGGCCCCTGCGCGTGGGACATCCGCCTGGTGACGGCGGCTGTGGTCCTCTGAAATTGGCATCGACAAGACACAGCGGTGGCCTTGTGCATTATAACCGGCCACAACGCCGTTAGGAGAGGCGAGCGGCGGTGCGAGCTGCTCCACTGCGGTAGAACTTCCAGCTGCATAGAAGGAGGCAGTTCCTCTCTTGTGCTGTTCGGAAAGCCGAATCTGGCGAAGCTGAGTTGCAATTTTCTGCTGCACAATTGCCGATTGCTATTTTCATGCGCGCTTAGCTAATTTTAGTGCCAGGAAATAATTCGATAGTTTGCGCACTGAAAATTGCCTTGTTGCAATTTTCCCGAGCTGATGAAGACTCCGTATCGGTGTGCTGTTCGCGTAAGCCCATGTTTCACCAGCAACTGCCGATCCGAATTTGTGCGAATACTTTAAAAGATGCAAAAGTTGTGCCAAGTCTCGCTATCTTCGCCGCAATCTAGTTCCCATTTCGGGCAGTCCAACGCCGGAGTTTCGACCTGTTTTCAATTAGCGAATTACGAAATTACGAAATTGGCTCGATTTCTGCCTCATGGTGTCTCGTTGATAAAAAAAGGAACGCAAACGCAAAAAAGGTGTATATGGACTTCAATTTTTCTGCTATGCCTCATCATGGGACAGATCGTGGTACTGGCTATCGCGCATCTGGGGGGGCACACACACGCGTACAGATGACCTTCCCAGCATACCAATCAGCACCAGTGCAGAACACCGTACTTCGTTCATGCCCTCGTGTATGGTGTCCTGAGCGGCTTCCATGCCCAGCCTTTTGGAACAGCAACTTTCTAATTTCTTTATTTGCGCATGTGTGCCTTTCACTGCATGACGTATCTGGCAATATTTGGTAAATACAATGGTGCAATCGTTTGTGCTGCTGAAAGAGGACACAACAGATCATGAGCTCAACATATTGTACGCTCATGCGGTTGCCCCCAACTGCATTCCCGATTGACAGGTTTGCACTTGAAGACTTGATGGCAAGGCTTTCTTTGAAATCATTTACGTGCAATATTAAACGACCACACCAATCATCGGTGACCCATGTGCTTGCAGCAACAGTAGCACGTCACATAGCAGTGGGCACATTGGGGACCAACGTGCTTGCAACAATTGTAGTAGTATGTCAAGATGACAAGCTCATTCGTGTATATATTTTATGTATCTACTATTGACGTACGCAGTTCATGTATATGATGTGCATGTGGTGCTGTTGCGGGCTAGGTTAGCGCAGGCTGAATATCGAGGGATTCTATTCCAATGTGAGCTACATATTAGCTGCAGTTGATAACATTCTCAGGTCTTGACGAACGACAGCATTTTTCTGTTCACAATAGAACTAATTGAGTTGATCTTGCAAAGTTATGGCAAGATTGGATAACGGACAACACTTATTTAACGGAGGTAGTATTTGCACATGAAAAGACCATTCGGCTCCACTAAATTTCTCCAATACTATGAAGGACAGAGAGGTTTGCAGCATGCAGAACGGCTAATGGGCCACTATACATATGATTAACTTGTTTGCAGCAAGGCAATTGTAAAAAATTGAACAATAAGATTACTTATGTAGTGAACGCTATCCTTCAATTTGAAGATTGAAATTGCATGTCGTCAGCTGTGGCTATAACTGCTACTTGTGTTGCGAGATCCAAATCTTGGCTAACCTACAATTTTTGAGAGCATGCTATCCATATTGCTGTGGAAAGATTGTCCGTGATTTTCGTCACGATGACGCAACAATGTCTGGTTCAGATGTTTTTGGTTCTGCCTAAATGGACATTTCGACAAAGGCTAGAAACAGTGATGAGACTAACCGTCCAAAAAGAAGATAATATTCAAGCTACATGTGCTGCGAATGTTCGCAAATTATGAGAAAGCTCACACTTCCACAACGGACTATATTAAGCAGAGAGTAGCTCCATCAGCTAGAACCATTTACAAGATGGGAATACGCCATGGGCTACTCACTCAACCCATGAATGCAATTCAACCGGTGCCGTATGCTCTTAAAAGCTAAACATCTAATATGACATGTTGAATCATATTTGGAAATTTTAAGTACCATGGCACTCTTCTGTGTCATCGTTTCGATTCTTATAAGCTTACATAATAAACGTGTTGCTCCTGGGAACTATAAAGCGGCATTCCACAGCGCGGTAACTGGGCCCCAACAACGACTATTTGCGACGCCTTTTGATAGAAACATCAAGTTTGTCAAACTCAATGTTTCCATGCAGCATGTAAACAATTTATCTTTGTGGGTGCCCAATTGCCGTAGTGCGGAATGCTATTCTATACGTCCCGGCATCAATCTGTTTACTCTGGATGCCATTGGCAAATGCAGCAAGATATAGAGGAGCGTGTTGAAGACGCTTTGTTCAGCAACAAAATACAGCTAAGGCGCATTAAATCAGACGCTGTGACATGAAAAACCAGAGATGTTTCGATGATGTTTGCATTTCAAATTCCATTTATCTATGGCTAGCAAATCTTGTGTACAATGTTGCAATGTGCACAGGATTTGCTGGGTGCTATGCCGTTTGACCTTATTGGCAACTGTAACCAGGACCACCTTACGACTGTACCAGCGCATGTGACATCTATGGCGATTGTACAACCATCGCTGGACTCAAATTGTTTGCCTAATTCGTATAACAATAAATGGACATAACTATCATGTTCAAGTGTTTGTGCGGAGGGCGTCGATAGGAGGGCTGCGCCGAGAGTTTGAATCGGCAGCTGTTGAATCCGGCCATTTCAGGCCCTGCCCTTCGCTTTCTGGCCGCCCAGTCCTTTGTGCCCCTCAAAAATCCAAGATTTTCAAGTATGGCTCTCAATTTTGGACGCGCTTGACGTTTGGCGGGCTTTGGGGAGGCTGACCGGGGGCCGCTACTTTGCTGCCCACCTCGATCCCCACCATATTGCTTCGCACCCGCCGTGTTCTCCGAAGGAATGTGAGGTTCGCTTGTGATGTAGGACGTCGAGGGAATAAGGGAGGGAAGTACTATATTATCGGGCTGACTCAGGGGCGATTCAAGCTTTTGTAAGGGCAAAGGACTGCGAGGTGAATGGGGGCGTTTAAGTATGGGACCTCGGGTTGAAGCTGCGACAGTGGCGGACACCATGATTATGCATTTGCACAATGTGCATGTTACGAGAAGTATATTTTAAGGAGTCCTGTCATGCGGGGGCAGCATGAGTGGGCAGGATCAGGAGAGCGGCAAGGCAGAAACGGCGTATCTGTGGACAGTTCGCCCCTGGAAAAACGGTCAGGAGGAGGTCAATTGTTGATTCAGTTTTGCAGGAGCTTTTGAAGACCGAGCGTCCCTGTGAGACTACCCCGTTCTCTCAGATGGATTGCGTCTCTGCTTAAGCTGAAATACAGTACAGGCCAAGGTCGGCTGAGATGCTTATTACGCTCAACGAATGGCTTCCATTATGAGCACGTTCCCATCACTGCTGAAACAGACGCTTGTTGTGGTACTCATTGCGACCAGTGCCTGCGAGCGCTTGCAACCACCGGTTGCATTTCCGCGATCACAGATAAAGCGCTAGTTCAAAAACCTGCCCAAGAAAAGTTCCTTGTTCGGATGGAATTACCGGCTGCAGTGGCGGTGAATGCGGCTGGTGAGCCTGGAAGGAACGGCAATTTGGCAGTCATTTCGGCAAAGTCGATATTGTCTACCCAGGCGACTCGTGGCAATGATTCATGATATGGAGGGCAGCAACTGCGACGGGGTCTACGACTTGTCAGCACGACATTCAAGGCGGTACCCTGGTGCTGCAGGCCAGAACTTCGAAAACATGGTCATAAAAAGCGAGGTGGGAGAGGGACAGAGAAACGCGTTGCACCAACCTGCCTCTGCTTCTGGTTGAACGCCAACTCGACGGAGCAAAATGGGACGTCGCTCTGCTGCTGGTTAGGATTTGGATAGCTGTGTTGGTCGCATTGCCGTGTGCTTGTTGCGGCGAGCTTATCCTTCGTCTTTCTCTTGAGAGGAAGACCTCAAATTAAGGTAATACCACAGACTGTTGAGTTTGGAGTGTGGCAGTCTGCCACAATAGTCAGGCCTTCCCGGAGTTTGCCCTGGTCTGCTGAGGACCACAGTTCAACAATCGGGTCCCAACAAGAAGTTCCCGCTGTTGTGAACGCCCTCACTGTTTGGAATGGTGGTGCACATCCGCCAGTGGCAGCCTGCCCAATCCATGCCATCCTGAGACATGGACTCGAGGCTTTAGCATCAGGAATCTTCTTCAAGGCGTTTTGGCACCAAGAGCTTCCACGGTGACGAGCGACAGCCGCGCACGGGATTCGTGAGCTTAGGATATGTGAGATTGCCTGATTGCGCTTGAGCACTCGTTTCCATGGTGCCACACAGGCTGCGTCAACACACACGCTGGCGTTGAGATTTTCCTCAGTGCCGCGCGCTCCTTTGGGTCTGGCAGCGCCAATAGCAACCTGCTCACGATGTTCTGTGGCACAATTCGGATCTTTGTTTCACCTTTCCCGGATCTTCATTTCGACGAATTGCCAGAATTTGGTTGTGTTCATCACTTGACATCCTGCTTTTTGCTCTCCGGCGTTCACCTCGAATTGGCCAAAGACTTGCTTGGGCAACGGCCATCTGCCAGATGCTTTACCATGGCATGACGTTTTCAAACCCAGACAGCGGCCAACCTTTGCCACTTCCTCACGAAATCACCGTGGCTTGACACTTGCGCACTGGCTGGCGATCATTACAACTGCCATGCTCCCCATCGCGCAATGTTCCGACCACAAAGACATCTTGCCAGCCGGCCTAATGGCGCGCCAAGCGTCCCATGACGACCACGCGAACCCCACACAGCTTGCCGACAAATAGTCCAACATTCGAACCCTGAACGAAAGCATCCCATCTGGCTCGCCTACGTCTGGATTTTGTTGCCCCCGGAGGGCCGTCAGCGCCCCACGAGACGCCCTCCCCAACTTCTTCAGCATTCCTAAACAGGAGCCCCACCTCCCGCGCGCACACCCAGACCCATCCACAATACCCTCTGCTGCGCATCGGATTGGAAGGCCACTGTCCAAAACCCCACGCCCTCCCCACCCACACCCCCCAAGGGCGTGGACCCACACAAGATCATGAACTCGGTGGCGCACGCAACGGCGCGCCACTCTGTTGATTTATGCACAAGCTGCAGCAAGGCACAGCCGTGCCCACCCAGGGCTGCAGGCTCCCTCCTGTGCGCTGACCCGGAGTGCCGCTCGCTCGAACCGGCGGGCGAGGTGCGGGCAGAGTTGGCTGCTGGCTTGGGTCGCGTGACCACTGGGCAGCGATTAGATGTCTGCAGACACGAGATGCAGCGGATTAGATATTAGATACTAGACATTAGTCATTAGATATTAGATATCAGATGTTATGTATTAGGTAGCGGCAGGTGCTGGTCAGATGACGATTAGGTGTTTGACTCGGCATACAACAGGTGCGTGGTTGCCAGGAGACCAACAGCGAAGCATTGTGCCAGGCGCAGCTGCCACGATCGCTGGCGCATCGCTTCGCTCTCCATCAAGTCGCTGTTCCAACAGGTGCACTACGCCCGGCTCCTTATCACGGGCGACAAACAGCACCTTTCAAACAGTGTCTGTCCGTGTATTATGTGATGCTGAATAGCAGGGCATCCTGTGTTAGTGGCGCTAAGCGTGCTTAGTGTTCGGTTGCCCCGTCCATACTTGCTGCCGGACCGTATCCTGCTTATATCTGACTGCGCTCTTGGTGCCAAGATTCCATCCTCAACTGAGAAGCGAAACGCCTCCAAAAATACGATCAACAAAAAAATATAGCAATATTGTTGTAACCCTGTCAATGATTAACGCTGCTGGCCCCACCTGTGATATCGTCAAAGTCGAAAAACTCGTTGTCTGCCGTGTCGTCCTGGAACTCAACGTCGGCGTCGTTCACACGAACTGCAAACACAGCATCGGACAAGTTAACACACTCTGAAGGCATCCAATCCATGATGCACACTTCTTGCTGACATGACTGTCTCTCTAAAAGCCATGAACTCTTCAGTGGTTAGTGTGCCCTGAAGCCAAACTGCCAACAGCTCGCAATTTCAGCAAAGATGTCACAGTGCTAGAGAGGCTCCTGCTGAATAAAGAGCTTCCAGCATCTACCCTTCCCTCCTTCGTCGCTCCTATGCCCCCAGCAATCAGTTTTGTTTGGATCCTTCCTCAGGGAACCCATTTGTGTCACCCACATAGCAAATCTTACTATGGGCACCATCCAGTTCGCCTGATGAAGACATCTTGTACATAGCACTGTGGCACCACGCTCAAGTCGGCATCAGCCGACACTGAAACCAGCTTTCAAGAATCAATGCGCAGTTTGCCAAGGGCACAGGCAAGATGAGAATGGAGTTGGGTTGTGAATCACATGCATCCACACCAGTGAGGAGCAAGAAGAGTGCAAAGTTTGGCCACCATCGATTCACCAAAAGACAAACAGTTGTCATGCAACTCTTGCTTTGGATCAGCCCCATCCACCTTCGTTAATTTACTATGCACAGTGTTGGATCCATATAGAAAAGAGATTCAGGGCTGCGGACAATTGGATATGCACAAGCTTTCTGGGAACAGTGGGCCCTAGGCTTTCTATTTCAAAACATTGGCTTCATCCCCACTTTGATGTGGAGGGTGTTGGTATGTACACAGGGACGGACACACTGTGCCATTCAGTCTTGAACCTCAGCGCAATACAATAAACAGAAAACAACAACTCACTGTGCTCTGGCAGCTCCCCATACTGCTTGAGACTCCTTGCCTCATCAGCCATGTACCTGCATCATTTGCAGGGTTACACCCCCTCAGCCACCCAAACCCATGCACAGGGATGGTCCAGCAGGCTGTTTTGAACTCCACTATCTCAAGTCCGCTGCACAAACATGTTAGGGCCTGACTCAGCATATTGAGGGGGGGCAACCGATGTCGATGTTCTTGCCCTTGATTGTACAAGGTCCTTGCAGCCATGTGGCCACCAATTCGTGGAGCTGGTGGCAATGCAATCACAATAACTTTTTGAGCCTTTCAGAAGCCCCAAAGATTCGGGGATGTGTGCAGAGCAGGGATTGTTTCTTTTCTGTGACATCTTTTCCACTATCTGGTCTGAGCGGCTAGACAAACATTGCCTGCACTTCATATAGGGTGGCTAGGTGGTGACTTGAGATGGCACAGCATGTGTTGACACATCACCAAAGGCGAGGGGAGCAGCAGCGCATAGGGCCCCAAACGGCCAAACACCATCAGTCATGCGATCTCTTGCAAGAGGTGCTTTGGAGCCAACTGCATTCAACTGCCACAGTGCCAAGGCAGAAAGAGACAGCAGCATGTGGTGCGACAGTCACTCACTTCAAAATCACGTCAGCCTTTTCGTCCTGATAGTCCCTCAAGCCAACCAGTATGACGTCACCCTGCATCAAACACCAGAAACCACTCACACCAGCAGACAAGCGGAAATTCAGCTTGCAATGAGCAGATATTCAGCGCCCAGGCCAGTGATGTGGTTGCTGAAGCAGCTGGCGGATTTCCCAGTTTCCCTGTAGATATTCACAATGTGCATCAGGAGCTGAAATGCAACAACGCAAAAATGATAGGGATTCAAGGAGGCCTTATCAGATGCCCAATCTGACATTTGAGAAACCAGGCGCTGGTCTGCCTGCTTGCTCCACACTTGACAGGTGGATGTCCCTAGGTGCACAAGTACTTGTGCATATCTCTAAACAACGTGCCAACACCATGACCAGCGAGGGGTTGCCCTGCATGCTGAGTGTGGTCTGCCGGAGTACATATGTGCTGCTTTTGTTTGTGTCCCATCCTGCCAGCATGAAAAAGCAAGGGAACGCCTGGCCCAAGCATTATAAGATGAAATGTCATCACAGCACCGATTTTGCAATCGAAATACAGAAGACAAAGTGCCCTCTAACAGGTTGGGCATGTGAGCTGTTATTCTGTTGATAGCCACAGCATTTCTCCCCTCTCAATGGACGCTGACGGGAGCACATTCAGCAGGGTGGGGACACATCCAGCAGCACACGCAGTGCTCAATCCATCTCAAAGCACACAGGCAAAGTTGGACATTCTGACGAATGACCTCAGAGATATGTTCTTTAAAACTGCGAAAGGGTGTGACACCTGCTGTGCCACGGGATGAACTACTTGCAAGAACACATCCACAAGGGCATTGGGATAGCAGGCATTCTTGTTGACTGCAAGCTACATTTCAGTCTGTTGCTGGATGCAAGAATTCTGAGAAGTGAATCAGCTTCACATGGTGTAACTGGATCATTCACTTCACCCACCGTGTTCACCCAAACCTTCTTCCTCATCTTGCCACGGATGTGACACAAACGCTTGATGCCATCCATGCACATCGCCTCAAGACGGCCGTTGCCAAGCATCCGCAAAACCTGGGCATATTCTGGACCACAACCATTCAAATGTCAGTCAGACAGCCGCTCAATCACAGTTGAGGATTATGCGAGCAGCTTGTACAAAACATCGCTGGTTGTTGCCTTCTACGTAGCTGGGGTGCCTTGTCAGCATTGGCAACCATTTGGACCCAGTTCACAACTGGTGCAACGCTCTCTCCAGGCACAGGCAACAGGCAACCACCAATGTGACTGCAAAACGACTCCCAATCATGCATGCAGCACAGCATGAGTGAGACCCTGTCAGCTGCCCATTTCGTCATTTCCCTTCCACCAAATACACTGTTCAGGGATGTGAATATCTCCCACGAAGCTCTCTCACATCTTTGATACCATGCAGCTTTTCTGTGTCATCATGGTGTTCACCGGGTTTTAACACACAACTATTGCTTCCCCAAACCAATGGCAACAAGGACAGCAGCAATGTGCTGGGCAACCCTGACAGTTCCATAAGCAACAGGACAACACCACTCCAAGCGCGCTTCAACGTTTGAACATCAGCCCTGGGGCCTCAAGGAGAATGCTGGCATTGAGCGCGCACCAAGCCCAGACTGCCAGCTGCAGAGCAGCACAGCCGCACGCACAAATTGTTGCAATTCATGGCAAGACTAGGTCAACCTGACAGTGAATGTATTGTTGTGTTGGGCACAACAAGGTGTTCTTTGGCAGGGCTGCCACCTTCAGCACAGCTCTGCCAGCCACCAGCAAACACCATCATGCAGTCGACACTTTTGTGCACAACCTCAGTACATACAGTCTCTAGTGTTCGACTCTGTGCAGTTGCTCAGGAGTGGGTGCCCATTTCGTGACACGTTTCCTTTCTACTTGAAGGATAACCGTATCCCACGCAACTCAACAACACCATCAATAATATTGACAACAACAACAACAATACCGTTACTCACCCTGTCCGGTCTCTTTAAACACCAGCTCCCTCTTCTCTTCATTCTCATTCTTTCCTGCCATGCAGCACAGAACGTGTCAGCGTGGCCACAACACATCCAACTCCCACCTCCCCACCCGCCCACCACACCTACGCTTCTCGCCCTCCTTTTTCCTTGATCCGGCTTGCCGGGCCCTTGGACACGTACTGCTTGGCTGTCCCACAGCATGCCACACGCTCAACATGGACTTAATTTCACCTGGGCCAGTATGCGCTTGAGTGCAGGTCCGTTGCATCTTGAACCCCAACAGATCACACACGCACCGTGCACCAAACCACCACCAACCCCCACCACCCTCCTCATGGCCCACACACCAACACCAACCAACACACTCCCCACCCACCGCCTCTGCAGCCGACAGGGCTCAGCCCGTGGCTGACAGCCCTCGGCCCGGCTCGAGTCGCTCACTGTCGCTCACGGTCGCTCCGATTGCCGCCGCCAGGGGTTCCCATCAGCAGCGCATCTCGAGACCACCGTGGCGGCTCCCAGGCACACCCAGCGCCCCCCAACCGACCACATCACCAGCAAGCCCAGGCCTCCGAGAGGCCAGCGCCAGCCACACGGCGCGCAGCCGCGCCGGCCGCCAGTGCAAGTCAGCCCAACGCTGCGGCCCAAAATGCCGCCCTCCCGCAGCCAGCTTCACTCCCCCCTCCCCTTCTGACGCACCCCAACACCCCAAACGGACGCCATCCATCCACCACCACCCCTTCAAGACCATTGCCCAGCAGCCCCTGCCCACGGCAGGCCCCTTGGACGCCACCTGGCACAAAACCCACACCCTGGCTCCCAGCTCAGCCGCCCCCGGCCCCGCCCTCCCCCCTTTTGCGTCCCCAAGATTCTCACCTCGCCGCCTGTTCTTTCCTCCCTTTCCTGCGAGCACGCACCCCGCCAGAGCCGCCGTCAGCAGACCCGCGCAGATCGATTTTCGCGGCAAAGTCATTGGCGGGCCGGCCAACCTCCCAAGCTGTGCCCGACGGGCGCTCGGCCTGCAAACGCACCTTTGTTCTTCGGCATGATGCGAGATGCCGCGCCTGAGGGCGAGAAGCGTGGACGAGCGAGGTGGCTGGCGGCGCGCAGGCAGCTCGCTGGCGGTTGTGTTGCTGGTGCGCGGCCGGCGGAGTCGGTGGGAAGCGGGGGAGGCGAACAACCGATCCGAGGCGGGGTGGTCGCCAAAATAAGGGGAAAATGATGGCCACAGCTTCCCTGTGGTTTCTCACAAGATTAAGAAATACGCGGCCTGAATGGATTCAAGACATTGCAGATCTGCAACAGGGAGAAGACGCTCCGCGCTGGGTTTTGTGCCCAACGAACACAAGCGGAGGTGATCTTCATTGACGGGCCGGGGGCGCGTAGACGGGCGCATCTGCATGCCCTGTGGAGCGTTGGTTGCCAGCAAGGATGTGCGTGGGGAATATTCCCCTGCGCGAGACCGCAGGTCACATGTGAGCACACCAAGAGGTTGGACTATTGCTTGCGGTCCGGTTGCGGTGGGTGCTGCTCCAGGGCTGAATGCAGACATGCAGCCGAAGGGTCGCGGCGCCGCCAGTCGAAGACAAGCACTCTCCAGAAAAAGCACATGCGCAAAGCAATTGAGGGCGACGTGAATCGAACACGCAACCTTCTGATCTGGAGTCAGACGCGCTACCATTGCGCCACGCCCCCTGCTGCTTGGTATGGTGCATCTTATTACTATATATTGCACTAAGGAATATCAGACCACGTCTCCACCGGCAAGTTGACAACAGATCCCTTTCCCGCGAGGACTAACCCATCTGCGAACGCAGAAAGGACACGGCAGATGTATCAAACATTAATCATTTAATGTTTGATACATTCGCAACGAAATACAGGCAACAATGGGTTCTGCAATGTGGAATCCATGGCCCAGAGCTGCACACTATTCTGTTCAACGCCGGCCATGGCGTTTTCTTCAGGATCTTCGAGGTGCTCGCCAGTGAGGTGGCCCGGCATCGCCAGGATGCACACATTCGAACACCACCTCAGTGTTAAGACGACGAAGGGAGAGGAAACAGTGGACAGAAACTGCGCCCAGGTGGGTTGGAGCGCGACCAACTTTGCAATGTCCATATGCAATGCATGTGTCACAAGCATTGCGTATGAACAACCAACATATCATGTTTTGCACCTTCAGGACCTTTGGCACAAGAGTCAGTACATCGTAGTCCTTTGTTGTACATTGTTGTCCCAATCTTCCCCCAAAGCTTGGGAATACCACACCAATATCAACGTTACGGGGACTTTCTTCACAAAACTTGGCACAACCCCTATTTTCATACCTTGGAAGTTTGAAATACTGTTGTGCACAAGAAAGTTGAAGTCTATGTCTCTCGCCTTTTCGTGAGGAGCTTATTGCATCGACAATGGAATGGAGGCCATGTGTGCATGCGAAGTAGCAGGAGCATTCCCATGTTGTACGTTACCCCACACTCTAGGTGACTTTCTTTCTGGTTCAAGCACATTCCATTTCCACCCCATAAAAGTCTGGAAAGTGATTGCTGTTTGCGTCTGTTCCTGCAAAATTTTGAAGGGATTGGCGTTCCTTTCCTTCTCCCTCCTCTTAGTCAGCCTCAAAAATGGTCAGCATCACCACAAGCCAACAACTCAAACCACAATGCCAATGATTTCCTGGCATGATGCTGCATCCCTACTGGCCGTGGTGAATGGACAGGCTTCCTGTCCAGTGGGCAAAGAAATCAAGCTGAAAATGCGAATCAATGCACGGCTTGGGTCCTGGTACATAAACACCAGAAAGCTGCCCAAGCTGCTTGCAAGGCACCAGTGACAGACTCGAGAAGCTGCTGGACACGGAGCACTGAGCACTTGTGGACCAAGCAAACTTTCTTCTCACAATAAGACGAACGACAATTTGTGTCCAAATTCGGTTGTCAACCACGTGCCACGGTTCAGAACGCCAACTGGCAATCTCTAGTTCTTCTACAGACACGCCTGTCACCTGCCACACGGTCGAGGCCCGCGGGCACAAGCCCCCCCTCCCCCAGCTCAAGACGTCAAAACCCTCGACAAAACTACGTCGCCTAATATACATGGGTTCCAGCGCCAACCGCGGCACAAAACGAGGCTCTCAAGCAACAGGCAACTCGCCAGAGGGAACAGCAATGTCCAGCCTGGTTTCCCCCTTAAGGCCTCCACCACTCCAGCACCATTCCAGCACTGGCCTCTCGCCCACCACCAAGCGCCACGCCCCACGCACCCTCTTCCACAAAACCGACCCACCAACAGCGCACTCATCGGAAAGTGGCAAATTCGCATGTTGGGTGGCATACACGGATGATCGTCCGTTCTTCGAATCCTACTGGAGCAGCAAACTGCAAAGACTGTCCCATCACCAGACAGGAATGCGTGCGCCGTGTTCACCAAACCCCAGCCGCGCGGGTGAGCAGCGAAACATAAACATACAAAGGGAAACACAAAAAGAAAAGCAGAAAAAGGGGGCAGGGCCGACGTCCGCCCTATCACCGCTCCTGCTGCATCAAGAACATCGCGTCCTTGGACTTGCCGATCAGCTTGAGGGCCGTGCTGGCAATGTGGTCGGCAGTGAGGCCCGCCTCCGACAGCTGGTCCGGGTAGGCGCCATGTTCTATGAACCTGTCGGGCAGCGTCATGGGCCTGACCTTCACGCCGCCGTCCAGCAAGCCCTCCAGCGCCATGTAGCTCAGCACGTGTGACCCAAACCCTCCGATTGCCCCCTCCTCCACGGTTATCATGACGGGGTGATCTCTGGCCACGCGCTTGAGGAGGTCGCCGTCTAGGGGCTTGCAGAAGCGCGCATCCACAACGGTGCAGGAGACGCCCAGATCGGCGAGGGTTTCCGCGGCCTTGAGGCACTCGTTGACGGCGGAGCCGTACCCCACGAGGGCGACGTCCGTGCCCTCGCGCCGGACGACGCCTGGGACGCCAGCACGATCGGTTCAGTCGTCGACGCGCATCCATTGAATCATATATTGTCATACACTGTCGTCATTCCAAGTATCAAAATGTTGGTGTACCTATGACAGTTTATATTCATTCCATTCCATAAAATAATTAGTTAGGCTAAATATCCAACATCCAAAATTCAAAATAATGTCCTCTGAACACAAGGCTGCACGTGGCAATACCCAGCTGTGGCTTTGGCGAGGGCAGGCACACTTTGACTCGGGTAATTCCGTCGTGATGCATTCACATTCACATTCACACACAGCGCATCAAGCCCAGTAATGAGAGAAACCCATTGCGCCACTCGTGAAAACATGGAGAAATATGACAAAATCAGAGCTTCACTCAACTGGCCCACAGTACCTTTGCCGATTTCAAGCGGCGTCCCTTTGAGGTCTTCGCCAATGCCATGTTCGGCAAGGTCGACTCCAATGCCGTTGCCCCGTGGGTAGCGAAGGCAGGAAGGCCTGTCGTTAATGGCAGCAGCGGTAGCCACCATGTTAATGAGCTCCGCCTCGTTGGAGGGAGCCATGACAACCATGTTGGGCAGGCAGGCCATGTAGGTCACGTCAAAGGCACCACAGTGTGTTGCGCCATCAGCGCCCACCAAGCCAGCACGGTCCATCGCAAAGCGGACTGGAAGGCAATGCAGGCGAGTCAATGTGCAGTTTAGAATCCAATTCCCACAAAACAAAGGGTGCACCAAAAAGGTGTGCTTTGAGGATCAGTTGCTGCCATGTGCAGTGTCAGTGCCAGCTTGGAGGTGCTGCTCGATGTCAGCACAAGTGCAACAGAGCCAATGGACAACATCTAAATGTGAAATCTGGGGCAACACCAAGCCAGGGGGGTCTGTTGTGAAATGGAGTGTGCTGCGATGCAAATTGGCCTCAATGCACAAATGCAGACAACCCCACCAACACTGGGGCCACAGTCGCCACAGGACACTAAGTCAGTCAGGCCCCCCCAATTGGTGTTGGGAAGGATGCCAGAAAGCACAACGAATGGGCAACTCAAACTTCCAAGCAACATAGATGGACCCCATGCATGCCCAGCCTGCATTCACCTGAGATATCAACTTGTGTAATTCAGCAAACCATGGCCAGTTGCCTAAGCCACCTGCTCTTGAAACAATCAGATGGCACTCACCTGGAAGGTTCTGGAGGCAGACGTCATGCACCACCTGGTCATAACCGCGCTGCAGGAAGGTCGAGTAGATAGTGCAGAATGGTACCAGACCCTCACAGGCCAGCCCGGCGGCGAATGTCACACCATGCTGCTCAGCGATGCCGACATCGAAAACCCGGTCAGGGAATTCTTTCTCAAAGCGGGCCAGGCCTGTGCCACCGGCCATGGCAGCATGGATGGCCACAATCCGACTGTCACACTTTGCCTCAGCGATGAGAGAGTCGGCAAAGTAGTTGGTGTAGGACATGGTCTGCATACAAGACACAGGCAGGCGGAGTCAAGAAAATGAATAAACACTCTGATTGCAAAACAACTCAAATGATCAAATACTTTCAACACCAGTACGTTCTCAAGACAAACAACAAGTGCTTACCCACACCTTATGGGTGGTTGGACATGATTTGGCCATGTACAAGAATGTAATGTCAGGAGGTGCATGTGCACCTGTGGCAGAGGTAGAATAGGACAAGGTCATATCAGGCACTGGCCACACCTACGAATTCCTTTGTGAAGACTTGCAAGCACTGCCAATACGTGGGCCAAGGCAAAAATCTCTAGAGGTCGTCGATCGATTGGATCAACCATGATATTCTCATCTGCTTGCGTAAACAGCAACACTTGCCAGAAATGGCCAAAATGCAACGATGCACTTGGCAAAATGCACATTCCTCTATGCAACAGAGCAGATATAAGTGTAAAACAGGACCACGCGGATCTCTAATTTGAATATAAACAAATATTCACGGCAATGCAGTGCTTTTGCACCTGTCAGGTGATAAATCCTGCTCACACACAGCAACACCAGGGTATCACATGACAATATCTCGTTGTGGTCCCACACTAGAAAAGACACATTCTGCAATAAATGTCGTTCTATTAATAAAAATGAATTCACATTGATTCACGTTCACTCACACACACAAGCACTATATCAGTTCCTTCCCCAAAGCCAAAAGGTTGCTCACATTGTTGTACTCCAGGCATCACAGTGCGAGCAAGAATTTCTACAAATACTATACCTGGTATCACCTGTAAAGTGCAAGCGTGGTGCTTTTCCTATTTTGACAAAGGCAATTATTGTGCACTAAGCTGTACACAGACAGTACAAAAACAAGCAACCACATAAACGAACAGACAAACAGACAATATATAACAACAGCGAGAAATAAACATAATAAAAGAACAATTGCCCATACCTTGCCCTGCTTCTTGAACTGCTTTCCTGTCATGGGGTCGTACTTCACAACGCCGTGCATCTTGTCGGAGGCACTCTCTGCAGGGAGGTATCCCCTGCCCTTCTCTGTCACAATGTGGATCAGCACCGGCCCCACAGTCTCTGTGTTCTTCACCTCTGCAAAACACCAAACACAGCCACAGCCTCAGCACGCAGGCGCATCCCTGCTCGTGGGGCTTTGAAGGGAAGGTACTGTTTCCGCAGGCAACCAGAAATCTGTTCACAGACAGCTGCAAGCAATAATGGGCCAAGTGTGCATTGGTCCTGCCTTTGTGCTGTTATGCGATCCAGGGGCACTCTGCAGCGTCTTGGGGACATATAACATCGATTTTCACCCAAAGAGGCAAGAACACAGAGAAAGGACATAGAATGAAAGGAAAAGGCCAACAATACAGCTGAATGCATAAAGATGTTAAAGAAACAGTACACCAACACAATGAAACAATGAATTTTGAACGATCATAAGCATCCCTACAAGCAACAAGAACATGATGATGATAGACTGGCTTCACAGCATGGAACATGTCGGCACTAGGCTACTTAATTTACTTCAGAACGAAGACAGGAATTGCTGCAAAGAGCAAGCTGAAAAACGCTGTGTGCATATTTAAACCACGAAGGGCTTCCTGTGTGACGTGACACAATCCCTGTCAGACCTACCAGGCAAAAGTGCACAGTGAGGACAAGCTATGAGAGTCGGACATTCAGAATTTGGGAACCTGCAAATCAAGATGTCTAAGATGCCCTTTGTCAACTTTTGGTGCAAAGATGTCTTCTCAAAGAGAATGATGCAATCAAAGCTAGTTGGCAAGCAGGTAGAGACTTCCTCATCCAGCTGCATTGGGGTCCGACATGCAGTGGAACAACCACCAGGCCTGCAACAGAGCAAGGACAGCTGGACAACACCGGCCCCAGAAACTATGGGTTCGAAGTTGTAGCCCCACCAAACAAAAGAGTCTTACCACTGGGACAACCACCAGGACTCCTTGACATACATAAGGTCGCAAGCACAATGTACTCTCGTGCTGATGCCCAACGTCATGTGGTAAGACAACAAAACACATGGCGCCCAGGCTCACCTTTCAGCACAGCGATGAGGTCATCCAGGTTGTGGCCATCGACTGGACCGATGTAGTAAAGCCCCAGCTCCTCAAAGAGGGTGGAGCCAGAGCCGGAGATCATGCCCCTTGCGTACTCGTCGATCTTGGAGGTGGCCTCTTGAATCGGGTTGGGCAGCTGCTTCGTGACACCCTTTGCGATCTCTCGCAGCTCTCGGAGCGGCTTGTTGGCCTGAAGCCGAGCCAGGGCACTGGACAGGGCGCCCACAGGATCCTGGCTCTTTCCATTGTATTGCGTGGGCAGTGAAACCTGCACAGGCGGGAGGGTGGATGTGAGTTGCATTCACACAGCACATTGATGCTGGTGCAGATAGTGTGGGCAGCCTTGACACATCCCATAAGTACTTGAATTGACTGAACTACTTGTGTTGAGGCTGGCATAACATGTTGGGCCAGGCCAGCATAAGCAGCAGATAGTCTTATTTGACACTGATGGGTCTAGCATGTGCTACACTGCCTAACCTGGTTTTGCTCCCATAAGGCAATAAACATCAATTCAATACAAATACAATGTTGGACTCCAGGGTTTGCATTTGCAGTGAATTTTGCTCAAGCGTAAACACAACTGGGAGCAAGATCACAGCCTGAAGACCTGGCACAGCTCGAGTGGTGCTCTGTGCATGTTGGTCCACAGCTGATGTTTCATCGTGGACAAGAACACATTTCAGCTTGTTGTCCAGCAACAGCCAAGTTGCATTCCCACACGACACTGAGACAGAAACGTTTGTGCTCCAGACACAATCCATCCAAAACACACCGATCCACACAATAGCTGCAACTCCAAGAGTAACTGGCTGCCATAATGTCAGCTCTATAGAATGGTCTGAATCCTCAAATTCTAGTTGCAGCAATGTCACATGGTGGGAGTCCAAAGATCCACAACAACATGCCTGCTGGTTGTCATTCAGCACGACGATCATATTCTTGTCCAGGAAGCCAGCATGATTCATCGCTTCATATGACATTCCGCCAGTTATGGCCCCATCGCCTATAACAGATATGACGTGGTTCTTCTTGTTCTTCAGGTCCCTTCCAACAGCCATTCCCAGCCCTGATGACACTGACGTTGAGCTGTGCCCGGCACCAAAGGGGTCATATGGTGACTCGTCCCTCTTTGTGAACCCTGTGTGCAAGCGACTCCATAAATCTCACCAGGCTTCCTGACAGTCGAGACATGCACGGGGAACTTTGGGCTTTACCCAGCAATGCACGCTCAGCTAAACTGTGACTGTGTGCATTGATATGAGGTGCTACAAGGCGAGCAAGCACCGTGCCCAATGCAACACATACTTGGACAAAAAAAGGTAAAACACAGGAGGAACATGACAGCAGGAAACACAGAACAGAACGTACACAGCTGCACGTGGAGCATGCACTGGCCAAGCATAGCAAAACCAAAGCACTGCTTTCCCCGGTACTCCCACACCATCCAATCGACCCACTTCACCAGCACCACAGTATAACCAGTCTGTGGATGAAGGGGCTTGTGCAAACCTGTCCTCTGCCAGCATGCCCATCATCTCTCTGCAGTTCCAAGGGCACTACTTCATCGCCAAGATGCAACAACAAAAGGGTCTCATCACTTCAGTACCACCTGCACGGTGCACAGGCAGTACGCTGCCTTGCACTGCACTCTCTAGAATTACCCACAACAATTCGGCAGCTCCTCTTTCACCACAGAGCACACAAACCCCCAACACATTCTCTACGGGAGGGGTACTTCAGTGCATGGCCTGTTTTCTCGATCTTCCAACCAACCTAATACTTCCTATTGGTGCCTGCCCGCCAACTTTCAACACCCATCCCAACACTGCCAGTCGCACTGATCCAGCGCCCAGCGCGGCCCCTCACCTGACAGGCCCCCTGTTTGCCTAATGGTCTTCATCCTGCTCCTGCGGCCCGTCAGGATCTTGTGCCCGTAGCATTGGTGGCCCACATCCCAGATCACCTTGTCCTCCGGCAGGCTGAACACGTAGTTCAGTGCCACGGTGAGCTCCACCACCCCCAGGCTGGCCCCCAGGTGCCCCCCCGTGCTGGACACAGTGTGCACGATATCCGAGCGGATTTCCTTGCACAGCTGCCTCAGCTGGCCCAAGTTGAAGTTCTTGATGTGGATGGGGTAGTTCACAGTGTCCAGGAGGGGGGTGGGGGGCCCTGACTCCATCCACGTGCCGATCTCGTCCTCGGAGAGCTTGTCCAGCTCGCCGTCGCCGGCGCCGATGCCGCCCAGGCCCGGGCTGCGGCGCGAGGCGGGGCAGGCGACGGGGGAGGGCCGCCGGCGAGGGTGGGCGCCACGGGAGGCTGGGCAGTGGGCCGCTCCTGTGCACACCAAGGGCATGAGCACTGCTTTGTCTTTCACAGGCACATCCAAAGCAACGTTTTAGGCTCCTGGACGCAGGCATGAGAAGCCTTCGGGCCCCTTCGGAGGGCTGCTGAAAGAATTCGTTCGAGGTGTGGACTGGGAACTGTTTCGTCTTTTAAAGGGGCAACTTTGAACTCAGGAACTTGGCTCCTGGGCGCGGGCATGAGCAGGCTTCGGGCCTCTTCAGAGGGCTGGAGGAGACAAAAGTTATTCGAGCTGTGGATTGGGAAGTGGAGAGATCGAGCGGTGGGCGGGTGGCTGCGTCGCGACAGGGTCCCCTGGCGCATTCCTTTTGGCCGGGAGAGAATGCAGAATGGCGCCGAGAGGCGAGTGCGGCCCACGGTCGTCGCTGCCGCAGGCCGCAGGGGAGGGGCGCGCGCCCGAACACAAGCGGGCAATGGTCAAAGGGCGCCCATCACGGGCACAGCGGGGGACAATCGGCGCAGCATGGGTGGCGCATCAGAGCAGGCGAGTTTTTGCGGCAAAAAGGCAGGCCCCCAGCAGCGGACGGCCCACTCTCAGAGCTGCACACGCTTGTGTACATGCACCACTTCAACTGGCCATACCAGCACGGCTTCACAGCTTAAAGACGCAGCAGAGCGACAGCCAGCAACGCGACACAGGGGACTGGCCCGCACATTCTCGCGATCTGACCACTGCGGTTGGCGGCAGGGGCAGGCCGATTCGACTCACCATTCGTGAGCTTGGGGAGCCCAGCGCCACAGCACCCTCTCAGCTGCAGCCACACCACGGGACACAATCGGCGTCATCAGCAATCCATAAAATCTCACCTCCGCGCCGGCAAAGCATACCCGCAGGATTCCCGGCCCGAAGTCCGCGGCGCGAACGACGCATCCCCCAATCGACCCCCCGGGCGTCGATTCACGCATCGGCCTCGCGGTCAACTCGGCCCTGCTGCGCCAAACTTCAACCAGCGCGCGACAGCCGATCGGCCCTTCGCGATCGCTCAAACTGCAGGCCGTTCGGCGCCAAAACCTGGAACGCCCGCAGCCATCGCGCAACTAAAAAGAGCAAAAAGTCGCACGCGCGTCTCCGCCGTGCTGCCAGGCAAACGCCGACGCTCGCGGCGGCGAACAGCTAGCGGCGCGCAAAACTCTTCGAGGTGCGATCTTCAATTTCCGAGCGAGCGTACCACATCCGGGAGCACTCCCACGGGAGCCATGGCGGACCCTCCGGCCGTCGGCGGCGAGGCGGGCGGGTGCCGGGGAGGGGGGAGAGGCGGGGGCTGGGGCGCTTTGGCGATCTGGTCCGGCGTGGCATCTCTTGGGACCCGCGCCAGCGAAATCGCGGGTGCATGAGGCCCGGGGGCGTTCAATCTACAGCCGAAGATTTCTGGGGCCTCCTGCGGATTGGTGTTGGGAAGGGGGTTGCCGCCAGAGAATTCTCTGGCCAGTGTTTCTTCTTGAACAAATATCGCATCCCAGGTGGGGATGCGGCTGTTGTTGGTTGGATGGGTTTCAGCTTGAGGCGCCCACTTGGCGCTGGTGCCGTTCGGCTGAGGCACTGGCCGTTCTGGCAGCTGCAGGGCAAGCGAAATCGCAGTGCGTGGGGCCCATGAGAACCAAAGTTCGCTTTCCATCGAAGATTTCTATGGATTGGTGTGGATTGGTGTGGTGAAAGAAAGAAATATCACATCCCAGGGGCGGGGATGCGACCATGTTTGGTTGGATTGGCTGCCAGCTTCTGGCGTCCAATTGGTGCTGTTGGCGTCCAGCTGGGGCTGTGGTGGTTTGAAAGTTTGAGATGTACCAACTACTGACTCTCAATACCAAAAAACAACACCGAGAAAGACGCAGGTGCGCTGTATGTTCGTTTTCAACATGTTGAGCTATGCTGTCCACTTGGCTTACATGCATCTGGACTCAGGCCTGACGATGATGGAGCACTGTGGCTGCTTTGCCACCTACGCAATGCCGGAAATGCTTCAGCAACTGCCATACAGCAGTAGTAGCATATTTGACTTACGTTCTTACTGGTTCATACCCCTGTTTCAGTGTTGACGAGCCGTCATATACACAGGCACTGCTGCCGCATTGCTCGGCGCTGCATTTAATGAAAATGAGCCCACACTGCTGCATGAATTGCAACTCAAATATGTTGATATTGATTCTATGAGAACTGCATCATTGCACATAATAACTGAATTTTGTGTTAAGATTCCCAAACAATCTTACATGCTGATAAGAAGCTTTAGGTTGTAAACGGCTCCCAATTTCCCCCGAGTTCGGCAGTGTCAGGGGGTGCTCTTTAGCCAAGGTCATCAGACAGTAGCCTCAGTGAATTCCTTGGAGAAATTTGTACAAACCCGCCCAGGCGGCAATGAATCAATCGCAAATCAATGAATGCAATCGAACGCCACCGCGTGAGCACCGGCGCGTCAACGCAACGCGGATCTATCGGCCCATATGTCCGATTTCCAATTCCCGCAGGCAAAGGGGGGGGCCACCATCAAGGAAACTCAGCGCCAGTTCCTGCACTATACTGTATAATACTGTACTGTACAGCACTGTACTGTAGAATCCTCCCCCTTCTCATAGCTTTGGATGACGTCATCCACACATTCCTCAACTCTGGGTGATGTTCTCATGGTCGACCTGGAACTCGGCGACGCCAGAAGCCAGGCTTGTTATATACGCCATAAACACAGATCGTATTTACGTCTTTACGTGTAAAACAGTTTTTACCTTTTTACACGTAAAATCGCGTACAAATACGTAAAAACAGTGCAAATTTACGTTGTGCAAGGGGTGTATTTAAATACAGCCCCTTGTACATAAGGACAGTACATACAGCTTTCGGGAGTCCGGGGAGTAGCAGCCAGACGCGATGTATTGGGCAGAAAACGAACTCTTTTTCCACGCCGTCGTGGCCCTTACCGAGTGCGAAGTCGACGCTATGTTGCGGGTGCTCGAGGAGGTGTAGGATTGACCATTGTGCGTGAATTTTCTCGTGTTACTTCGGTGTCATAAATGTCCATAAAGACATAAATACAGTCGAAAAGATAGCCTCTTTGGCAAATTACGTTTTCACGCGTGAAAACGCAATTTGCCAAAAGCGTAAATGTGAACGTAAACGTAAATGACAAGCCTGCCAGAAGTCGTCGCTGCTCAACGGCAAAATGGCGCTGCCACCGGCTGTTCCTTGCGGCCCTTGCGCATTTAAAATTGATGTCCGCGGGTAAAGGGAAGAAGAGCCGATCCTCATTTGGTGGCATCTTTAAATTTCGCATTTTGAGAGGGCACGGGCAGCCGCGACGTTCTCCTGCAACACCCATCGGGCGCTGCTTTGGCAACGCGGGCGTTGTGCATTTGCGCGGTATTTCGGTCCTGCACGATCCGCTGTGGACAAGGGCTATCTGATGAAGATATACTGCTGAAACTGTACAACAAATATCGGCAACAATAAGTGCGGCGCAGCTGATGCGCTCAATCGCAATGCTGCATTGTGATTGACCACAGAAAGCCTGTTCTGCTGTACTTCTTGATGGTGTTTGATGAAGGCATGATGCCCTTGATCTCATAGATTCAGTCCCTGGCCCATGGGCTCCCACTGGAACTAAAAATCTACCATCATCCCATGACGCAACGCACTCCCAAACATCACCGGCAAAGTGATTTTGCCAAGTAGGAGGTAGCAATGACTCCCAGTAGCTCTAAATGGATCAGACTGGACTTTAATGTGAGTTTTGGATTTTTGACTTTTGCACATTCTTTTTATTCATTGATTTGACTGAAGATGCAAGTTCTGTGTTGGGTCTCTACTCGATCTTCATTGAGGGAGCGTTTATAAACGCTGCCAAAAGATTTACAAAACCCATCAGCGCCGCGCCCTTGGTCTTGTTCTTTTATTCCGCCCCGGCGAGAACCCCAAACTTTGAGCACCCGTCCGGACGGGTGGATCCACCCGCAAAACCGCCTCGTCAGCAAAACACACCGGGCTGACCCCCGACTCCCTCCCCTCCCAAGACCACGCATACACGGAAAATCGGCAAAGGCAGGGCGGCAGCACCTCAACTGGAGGCGCTTGGGGTACTGCGAGACATCAGGGGTCGAGTTAGGCAGGTGAACATGGGAGGCTGGCACAAGTCCCTAGGCACGCGTTGACCCCGTTGACTGCGTTGACTGCGTGGAGCACGTGCGCAGCTACAGCAACCGATGGTTATATCGATAAATTTTCGATTCTCGACCTGCATTCTGGAATCCGTATTCCTGTGGGCTGCCGTGGGGCTGGCGGACAGAAGGAAGGGGAGGGGCGCTGCGGAACGGCTGTGGTCGCCGGGGTGGCGACTTGGCGGCGCGTCGCGTTCCCTAAACGCTTGAACTAGGAACTAATGGGTATCCGACGGCTTCTCGCGCGCGCTAGTGTGTAGCCGTCATCAGTGCAATAAATTTGATGCGACGCTGCATTGCTTTATTCTTTAGTGACTTTCCTTGGAAGCATTTCCTTATTTTCTCTGTGCGTATTATGATGCGTAAATAGTGATTCTCATCAGTTAAACATCATTGAGTTGGGTCAGCTCCAGAGACAAGTTGAAGAAAATCTCTCTCATTGCTTAATATATTCGTTGTAAATCTGCAAGATTGTGCCGAGACAGGAAATTGGATTCAGGGGTAAAGAGCAGAAAGGGCCTAAATGTAAGCCTAACTTTCAATTCACTGTACTCGTAATAGTACCATCAAACCGCCAAATCTGCCTGCGAAACCTGCTCTGCAGTTTGACGGGCATCTCAGCCACCCGTAGTCTGGCCGGCTTCGTCGAAAGCCGGATCACAAATTCCACATCATATTTCTATCTCATTTGCAAAGGGGAGGAAAGTAAACCACACAGCTGCTGGGCGGTTGGCACTGCGCAGGGCCGAGCGTGCATGCCGGCAACACCTCCGTTTACCATTGCAAATGCTTCCAAGCCTGGATGCGTGCCTTGCAACCTGCTGTTCCTCCTGGGCTGACTGCTGAGCCGATCTGAGACACTTGCTCACACTATATTCACCTGGTCGCAGCATCTGCAAACACAACACATGCTGCAACTTCCAAGTTACCCCCAGTCCAACACCTCACGGGGTGCGCTTTGAAAAGTATCAAATTACATAAATTCAGACAGTTCAGACAACTTGTATTGCTGTGGTACATGCCGGTGGGCACTGGGGCTGCGTGTGTCTCATTCTGCCGGAACAAAACTGCCGGGGACTGAAGAGATGGTTTTAACTGCAGAACTTGTGAAAGATGGCGGTGGGAAGGCCAATGATGCCAGCTCAGCTGCGATTTTACTCCAACAAGACCATGAACGGTAAAGCCGTCAGCTCATTTCCTAAACAGCTGAATACGGTTTATTGTACTCGTCTTCGCCCTTAAATATAGTAGCACAATAGCGCAGCAATATCGCATGCCCGTGGCTGCAGCATTGCAGATAGGAGCGGCTTCAAAAACATGTGCTGCAACCAAATTTGCGAGTAGAAGTGCTAAATAGCAGTTTTGAGTAGTTGTTCACACAAGCTCGGATTTTCCCAGAGGCAAACTCATCACGTCAGAAGACTACTGGCATCCCTGAAGCTACAACCCAATGCAAGAAAGCAAGTGATTGGTTCCAGGAATAGCAGGCACATGCCTCGATGCAAAATTGCTCTCCAAGCAGCCTAAAATCAGCTGCAGACCGCAAATTTCATGGCCACCATGGAAAGGAAAATTTTCTAACACAGATGGCACGGCAGCTAATTCCAATCACGCCACCAGAGCGATATGTACACGATGGCAAGCGACCAGTGATCACTGGTCGTCATGAAAATGTCATGGCATTGCACGTAGACATCAGCGCAACCAATAATTTCACGATGCTCTCCGCATATGCTGCATCCACTGCTATAGATCGTCTTTTGTAGATAAATTGTTGCACAAGTAATCAAAATCAACCAGGAAATATCCATAGTATAATGGCGAAGTAAGCATGCGAGATTTTTGGCACCTTGATCTTTTGTAAGTACCATCAAAAAGTGCTTTTTTCTAATTTTGAATAAGAATATAAAATTCATAATTGCATTCAACATTTTTTTCTATTGATTGCAGATAACTGGTGGGAGGATCGCCTACAAAAGACTGAGACTGCCAATGGGCAGGGCAGCCAACGTACCGATACATCGGCATGGGAAGTGGCGGTGAGTTCTGCTCC